ACACACACACACACACACGCATTCTGATTCTCACTCAGCCTCTACTACACCCTTCCTGTCTGACATTATACCTCCCTTCTTCCTCCTCCAATTTCCTTCTTACCGTTTTGTATCTCTGCATATTTATAGATGGATCAGATTGTGGATACTCCTGTTCCTCAGCTTTATTTCTTTATTTAACATTTAAGGTGAAAGTACAAAGTTACAACTTTTCTGTAACTTGGATCATTTTCAGTGTGTCTCATTCATTATGCATTATGAGAGAGATACTGTGTGTATTTCAGAGTCCAACAATAGCTCTATTGGGGGTAGACACATTTTATTTCTCATATTATCAGAAGATTCAGTGGTTTTATGAAGCCCACTTCAGTTTAAGCCCACTTTTTTATATTTCAAATGGCTAAAACTGCCAGTTGTGCACATCAATTTACTCTTAATAATCCATGATGACATATTCTAGAAAAAAACTAATTTATTAGGGGTATCCTGTTCACTTTATTTTCCTTGAGATTGGGGTGGCACCAGGGTATACAGTGGTTAGTGCTGTCACCTCACAGCAACAAGGTTGTTTTTATGAACCTTCTGACTTCTGTTGGGAGTTTGCATGTTCTACTCATGTCAGAGTCAAAAGACTCTAAATTTCCATTTGTGTGGATGTTTGCTTGTTCCTTTGAATTTCAGCCCTACGATTCGCTGGCAGCAGGTTCAGGGTATATATTCCACCTCTCTTTCAAAGTCAGCTGGGATTTGCATCAACCTCCCCATGACCTTCAAAAGATTAACAGTATAGAAAATGGACAATGTCATGAAGTTGAATTGATTAAGCATTGGGAGCATGAGGTCAAACAATTCATACTGCAGGTTAAGACAAGATTAGTCCAAGAAACAAACTCTATGTGGACCTGTGGCTGGGCGTAAAGCTATTGTGTACAATTCATTCTAAAGATTTAACTGCTCCCAGCCGCACAGTGGCCTCAATAATTGTGAAATTAATGATGTTTGGAACCATTAGGACTCTTCTTCAGAGTCAGGCCAAACTGAGTAACAAGGAAACCAGGGGCTTGGTTAAGCAGGTGACCAACAGTTTCTCTCACAAAACTTCAGCAGTGATTTCAGTTTGTCCATGCAGCATCAACAAGGCTCAGTGAGTTTTCTTCTTCGTAGCTGACAGCTTGCTCACCACAAAACGTGGTTGGAAACATAGACTGTATATAAAACTCCTCCATAGAGCATTCATTTCATCCAAGAGGCATTAGTGAATACATGTTTCCAGCTGTAACACACTTATTTTTGGATGGATGGATTGACCTTCATATTTTTTTGTCAGACATACAGGCAGGAGATGCACCCAGAAAAAAAGGGAATTGCAGTAATGAGAGTTTTTGTATTTCTGAGTTTCTATTTTTGTTTTTATGAATTGTCACATGGCCCATTTTAGTGCCTGGACATCCCCACCTCTGGTTTGGGGTGATACTTGTGCAGCATTATAATAAACATTTTAAGTAGTTCTTAATGACATGAGGAACAGTCGTATTATTTTATAATCATGCCTAAAAGTTCCATTAAACAAACAAAATGCAAATTCTGCTATTGATTTAAAGAAATTGTAATAACCTGGATAGTGTTAGTAGTAACCAATTAATCAATCTAAAGGAGAGAGATGACAGATGTAACTCTGTGGCATCCAGCTCTGCAAAGAAGTAGAGAAACAAACAATCTTAAAATAGTTGGTAAACTGTCAGCATAACTTAAGTGACTAGTATAAATCCGTACACGTCAGGTATTCATTTCCTCAGATGGATGCTGCAGCCACGATCAGTGAAACCACAGAGGACAGAAAAAGAATGAAATAATAGAAACATCAACTGGGAGTGGAAAAATCAATATATTTAAATATTCACATTACAATTCCTTCTAAAATATCACTTTCCTCTTGTTCTGCTACAGTGAACTCTGCAATGTAATTAATGGAGGGGAGGATGCTGTGAAGGTCACTGCTAATCCCCCTACAATCACAATGTAACAACTGTGTGTGGGTGTGTGTGTGTTTATCATAGCTTATATGAATTTCAATTTAAAGCCTGTCAGTGTTTTCAGAAACTTATACCTGATAACAGTTATTTTAATATTCATGCTCCATAAAGTTTTTATTCTTGTGACACCCTGCAGACAATACTGTATGTCTGTTAAAACAGAAATGTCTTTGTTGCTATACAGCACTTTTCCTAGCCATGATGTTTTAATTAACTCGTTTTTGGGCCTTACATACAGTATATATTAATATATTTAAACAGTTTTTCACAGGCCAGTAGTTGGTGAGAAAGTCTACTTATGTCAAATATGACAAATGTACATTTATAAAGTACCTTTCTTATCTTACTGGATTGAATTGTCACATTCAGTCATCTGTGCAATGCCTATATATAGTCTGGGATTCAGTGTCTGCCCAAGGATACTCCATCATGGTGGAACCAGGTTTTCAACAACCTTCTGATCGTAATTCACCTGAGGCACAACCCCCCACCAGTTAAAAACATTCTGCATGCATATTTGAGCTTAGTTTGAGAATGTTTTTTTTTACTTCTGGTTTGAATTAATTGACCCTAAAATCCCAAACTGTTTCTGGCTATGGAACCAATCATATTGAGCGAAACAGACACAGTGGCATTGCATTCTGATTAAGTGGTGTGACTATCTACATTCGCAACATGCAATTGCTACTGCTAGCCAAATGTAAATAATGTGTGTCACAAACATCAGCATTTGCTTCCCATACTCTCAGTTTTATATGTAAACATGAGTTCACATAAAAAAAGGGTTTATAAAAACCTGCGACCTTAAATGCTTTTTACACGTGAGTGAGAGACAAATGAAGACAAATAGCAAATTGTTGTTTTGCTTAATATCTGTGTTAGTGTGGACAAGGCCTCAGTGTTAGCGAGCTATCACCTAGTGTCACTGTAGTTACAGTAGTAGTTTATTTTATGAAAGCTAATAGAAACACAGAAACATGTCAGTGATATAAAGATAGCATGATCACATTCGGCAGCTATAGCTGTCAGGTGGTGGCTGCTAAACTCGGACATCACGGAAAAATGTATTGACCATAAATCATTGCAACGGTTCTACTGTTGTATGAGATCAGCTTATTGGGACAGTTATTAAAGAAAAGAGAAAATAAACCTGGACTTTTGTTTTGAAGGAAGCATTTTAACATAACTTCATTTTACTCATATAAATCAGTGTCTTCAGTGTTGTTTGTAATAACCTGCGCTGAGTTAACAATGGCACATCTCTAAAATCCTCGATACACACTTCTAACCATGCCAATCAGCCTGATTGCATTTACATTCAGCTAATCATAAACATTATTGAATACGATGGAGTCAGAGGCGCTGAGGGAACTAATATGCTCAGCAGAAATCCTACTCAGTTAAACTAGAAGTGCTGTGTCAGCTTCCTGAATCGCTCCTGAACCAGAGATCATTCTGCTCTGCCGTATAGCATCAGTATATTAAAGTAATCTACCCTCTGACCTCCTCGTCCTCAGGCTAAAACAATAAGTCCAGGAATTGTTGAAAAAACTTGCATGGGAGCTGCTAAAATGACAGATTAAATTTTAATAGAATCTACAATATTCTACTGTAGCAGAGACACAGAGGGAACTGAGAAACTACACCACAACACTCTGCAGACAACTTCTGTCTGTAAATGTGGTTTCTCCTCTATTTATTTTTCCGTCATGTACAAACAAGCAAATCATTCATAACCAATGACTTTGGCATCATCGGAAGCTAATTACGTGTAATCGAATCATTACTTAGAACAGGATTCATTTGTTATCCTTCCTCCTCTAAGTCATTACTCTCTACTTTCATGTCCACATGAACACAATCACAGTCAAATCACACACAGTCACTTGCAACAGTGTTAAGCTGCTTTCAGACAAGCACTGAACTCCGCATATTCCTCCTTATTTTCTACGGAGGAGGTGCATGTCTGTCTCTGCCTGCCCGACTAGAATTAAGTCTGTAGAAATTCAGGAGAATGAGGTGAGAATGATCCCCTGCTTGATTCACAGGGAGCGAGTTGTGGAGTTGATGACGCCTCTAACACGCCACATACACAAAAAAGAAACAGAAAACAAATATTTCCCAGTGAAAAAGTTATGACACACACCAACGAAGATGTCTAGAGAGTTTGTGGTGATAAGAGCCGACACTGGTCTCCGCAGTTAAAATTAATACACCACTTCCTGTCCTTGCCTGCTGCACCTGGCTGCTCCACTTCTCAGCTGAATATTGCGGAGGATTTGTTGCTTTTGTGAACGCGTGCAGAGAACCTCCCTCTGCATTAAGCACGTAAAGTCTGTATCAAATTCTCCTGACTTTACCCGCAGGTCATGTCTGAAAACAACCTTGGTCAGTACGCATCATTGCACCATATAAGTACACCTATTAGATCATGATTGAACTTAGTAAAGGTAAGAGTAGTGTTGTTACATTGAGTTTCGTTTGTTACATTGATTTGATTCATCAACGAAGATTCATGTACAAAAACATAAAGACAAAAGATCTATACTGTAGGATTTAGCTGCAAACCTGTAGGCAGGTAGTAGAATCTGGACGTATAGTGTAAAGTGTTGAACAACACAGTCTATGGATGTAATATAAATGTAGTCACCATATAGGCTCCTGTTTCTATTTGTTAAGAAACACCCCCATACAGAGACATACAACCATCCAGGGTCACATTCACTCCTCTTCCTGAAACTGTAAATGTGACCTTCAGTAATTGAGCTGCAGAAAGTCCACAGAGCTGCTCGACTCAGTACGCAGAACCCCCAACTGGAGAATCAGTTGTCGTTGCCATTGTGAAAATCAGATTTTAGCGGGATCATACCTTCTTTAGTGTAGAGTGAAATCTCCACCTTCCTCTCCTCTGCTCCCAGCAGAGCTTTAGCCATCTGGGCCACCGCTGGTCTCCTGGTGTGAGGTCCGTACAGGAAGCTGCAGGTGCAGGACTTCTGCATCACCTCACCCCGGGTATAACCACACATCCCACAGAAGGCGTCATTACAGAATATAATGGCACAGTTCTCCACCTGTGCATTGGCGATGATAAACTTTCTATCTGTAGGGTGAAAAGGAAATGAAAGAGTTGTGAGCAAAGAATGTTAAGTACTCTCGCTATCGATTGAGCCAATTAGCCTTTAGAGACAACTACAACAAACTATTGATTCATTTTTCTAGAGGATTCAGACAAACCTGTGCTAATACTAAAACTTCTGAGGAGGACAGATCAGATGTGGAATCATCAGCAGGTGATTTTAAATAGAAAAAGACAAAAACTTTTTCTAACAGAAAAAGCTCTCACGATTTATGTGTGTGAGATATTGCGAAAACTACATGGAGGGGCCTTTGGGAGATGATGCTAACCGAGGAGCCATGTTTCTCAGACAACGAGGTATAAATCATGTCCTTGTGAACCTGCTAGATGTTGTGTACATTATGTTTGTCCTCCTCGTGTCCTCTGCCGTGTGTGAAAGAGGATTCTCAGCACAGAGGAGGAATAAATCTGCTGTCAGAGGGTCTGAGGGTCCCTGCACCAGTCTTGAGGGACCTTCGCTGTGAGGAGTTGATACCACCCTCAAAGGATAAGCAGTGTAGATAGTGGATGAATGGATGGAGTATAGTACTAAGGACACTGCGCAGCTGTGATTCAGTTAAAGAGCAAGAACGCCCAAGTATTCACAGAAGCTATCAGGGGGATGGGCTTTAAAGGGAGCTACTTGTTGTGTCGTAACACTAATGCACTGACCATACAAAAAAAATATTATTTGCTTCTATTTTACAAACAAGTACAATTTAACTCAAGTATTATACAGTTCACTTTTTCCTTTAGAATGATCTTATTCCTGTAAATTATCTATTCATTACCAAAACATTTATCAGTGATACAGTTAAGATGGAGAAAATATGAACGTGATGCTTTGCATGTTGATTTCAGTGGTGTTCCCATACTTGGATTAGTTTATAGATTAGATACAACTGTATTGTCATTGCACATAGTACAAGAACAGCGAAATGCAGTTTAACATCTAACCAGAAGGTTCAAATAGTAGATTAAGGTGCTGCTGAGGCAATATGCACAGGTGAAAGTATGTGCTGTATATTGTATATAAGCATGAAAAAACACAGATGATAAAGAGCAGTAAGGTCAATTATTTACAGATATTGTAAAGAGTATATGAGAGTACATTGAGTACATACAGATGCAGTGAGAAGAGTATTAAATATGAGATAAATTGTTTTGCGTGATTGAGAAATAACAGATAACAGGCAGTGGTCATGTAAGAGTAGTGTTATGGAATTTCCAGAGACTGTCTCTTCTCATTGACACGCAGTGCAGCTGTCTGTCATGTTTGGGAAAGTGCGAGAGCTTGGCCAAGGTTCAAGGCTTCACTCCCTAGACACCACAGATATGAGACTGTGTAAGCAGGCAATACTGTCTCCAGAACTAGAAAATACATTTACTTGTTTAGGAACTAGCAGGCCAATAGACTAAATGATGTATAGGGGTTTAAAGTGTGACCACAGGAGATGAGACTTCAGAATATAAGAGAGCATCATGCACAGTTGTTGTATTGATGGATTCTGATTTTCTCCTTGGCCAAGCTTCAATAAATATTTCAGCATCCCAGGGCTCCTGAACACTTTCTTCACTGATGAGTTGACCATTGACCAGAAGATTTCAACAGGTAGGGGGGGTAATGAGTGAATAACATGTACAAAATAGGTGTAGGGGGTCTGACAGCTGAGGTAGGTAGGTGTGATATAATAAATATGTGCAGAGAAGCAGTGTGAGGAACATGAATATGAAAGGGAGTGGGCTAGTGCTGGGTTATAGAGTTCAGCATAGCGATGGTGTTGTGGAAGGAAGTGTTCCTGAGTCTGCTGGTGCAGGACCTGAAGCTCCTCTACCGCCTCTCTGATGGACGGAGGGTAAACAGTGCATGGTTCAAGTGTGAGGAGTCCCTGGTAATGCTGCAAGCCCGCAGCAGGCACCTGATCCAGTGGAGGACTGTGACGGCTGGGAGCTCAACACCGATGATTTTTTGAAAATAACCTCATTTGTTGTTGTCAGTCTGGATTTTGACCACATGACAACAATGAGACTGCACAAGTTTTAAACGACAATGAATCGTGCAGGAATTTTAGAATTAGGAATTAGAACTGGATCTCTGAGGCACGTTGACTAAAAGAACCTGCTCGAAACACCAAGTGGGTTTGGAGTTTCTGACGCTGTGTTAAACTGGTTTATTTGAATATGGCCAAATCACAGAATTACTTTATTTTCTCAAGTCACCTTACATAAGGTTAAATAACCTTACAACAGTACAGAGAACCCCGAAACTCCTCACAAGAGCTAACACTCAACCTCTAGCAGAACCTGAGTTAATGTGGGCGGACAAATCATATTTTTCTTTTTGGCCGCAAAAAGGGAAAGAAAAAAATAAACCAGACAGCAGCTGCTCATCAAGAGTCACTAACACCAAGCAAGTGGAGCGCACCACACTGCACTGGCTCCCTGCGTGTCAAAGGACAGATTATAAAAATGCTACGATCTGTTCAGAGCACTGAACGTTCTTGGGTATAAATACATCATTGATTTACTTGATCTTTATGAAAACAAAACAACTTTTTCATTCATTAAATCTTTTACAATTTCATTCCCCTGCTTGTGCTTTGAAATCAAACGTTTGAATGCAATGTCCACCTATGTAATGCAATTTAATGGCTGTGTAATACACTTGTATATGAGAGAGGCTAAATAAAGTTGTTTTACTGTAAGTTTGTTCTCTCTGGATTCTCTTACACATTCTAATGAAATCAAAAAGGCTAAGGCAGGTTTTGATTTGCTTTGTAGATCTTAACTTCAGTAAATAAGCTAACTGTCTGGCTCAAACACGTGTTTGTTGGTTGTTCCTGTTGTAATTGTGATGTCTAACTACTTGAGGTTACTCACTCTGTCCCTCGAACTTGCGGATGATGGTATCCACGAAGGTGTTCTGCGGAGCCACGTGGCCTCGTCTCACCGGCATGGTTCAGGTTCGAGTTCGGACCCGGTTGTGAAGTTTCCTCCGGATCTGATTGGCTGATTGAAATTAGAGCTGTTCTTTCTCCGGACACGATGTTCCTTTGTCGGATGAGCAAAATGTTTGTTGCTGAGTTCGGCTTGTTTGGTTTGTGTGTCCGCATCCTCTCCTCCACCGTTTCTCTCTCTCTCTCTCTCTCTCTCTCTCCTCTCATGCTCCCTCCATCCTGTCAGCACAGACCCGCCCACAGGTATTGTTTACAGTAAACAAATAAGGCATGAATTCAGGAAACTGTTTATAATACAGACCAACGTGAAAAATAAGATCTTGTAATTATCAATATTTTGTATTCCTTCAATTATCTTTCAATTGCCATCAAAAAAGATATGGAGGGACAATTCTTTGTCTATGCACTCTCCATTTGTGCATCTTTTTTATCTCATCTTCTCTACCTCCTACAATAAAAATCATAGTACTTCAAGTACAAGATTGCTGAATTTACTGTGGGTGCCAAGCTGTTATTGGTATTTTATCTCTAATGTTATTATTATTCCACTATTTTCATGCTGCGTTTTAAAAATGTAATTTAAGTTGAAAATCCAAGAGAGGAAAATGTAAATTATACATGAAATAAAAATGTAAATGCATGTAAATTATATATTGATCATTCATAGGAGGGTTAGTGTGTTATTTGAAGTGTGGTGTTCATGAGGTTCTTTGATAACTCGTGTGAAAAACCTCTGTGTGCAGGACAGCTCCTTCTTATTTCAGTCAAACAGTGACACCTCCAGGATCAATTTTGTAACGGCAGCACGTATGCTGGAAAAGTCAATGAATAAAAAAATATATATGTGTGTTAAACAAATCATTTTATAAGAATATATCAGTTTCTATTATGAACCTTGTTAATTGATGATTCATTAATGTTCTATAGCTGTTTAAGATTCGTCTGACTCTTGACATGATGGGGTTAAACCAGTTTGTTTAATGTTTTTTAATCTGTGGCTGACAATTAAAAAAATGTGAATATGAAATATAATTAAAATGTAAGAAAAATCAAGATGAAATATCAAATCATTCTCATTCTTCAAGTGTGTGTTGAAAACTAAAATCACTTGTAGCCTACAAACACATTTAGAGTACATGAGGTATGTAGCTGGAGCCAAGAGGTGATGAGTTTAAAGAATGGTGTGGTCATGTTTAAGTTGCCATCACTTATGTTTGTATATTTGAAAATGTGTTCTCTAACTTGGACCTTGCCGTCATCATTCCATAGCACTGAGCTTGGCATTATAACTAATCATATTAGATACAGTATCAGTGATGACGAAGAATGACAGTGAAGATAAAGCTTACCCCTCATCTCTCTCCCCTCCCTTTTCTAATCTTGTGTTCATATGTGGACACACAGCCCAGTGAATGTCTGCACTCATAGAAGATAACGAATAGATGCAACAGACGTAGCTTGAACAAAATACTTCCGTGAGAAATCAGCTGAGCATAAAAAGCCGACCACTTCTCAATCAGGACACAAAGGCAACGACCTCTGTGTGTTGTGGTAAGTACCATGCAGATAAATGTACAGCACGTCTTGTAATGTGTTGTCTGGAGCTGCAGATATGGTTTGTCCAGACTCAAGGGCTCCTGTGAGAGTGTATTGTATGTGTGACTACTAAACCAGTCACGAACAATTTATCTGCAACAAATTCATATTGAAGTATTTTCTGTGTTTAATTATTGTTGTAGTACTACTTTACTGTCTTTTTTTCCATAGCTATTTCTTCCAATAGTGATATTACATTTACAGTATATGTGCATACCTGATTGTTGTTCAAATAATTTGCTAATATGCATATGCATAGTGGTGCATGTATTTACTTGCTTACTTACTTTTACTTTTCAAGTCACGTTATAGCGTATTTAAAACCATTGAACTGTAGGGTTAAAATCTGAACTGCATTTGAACAAATGCATTCAGTTTGATTCAATTCTAATGTATGAGTATGGCGCCAAATCGGAACATACATTATCTCAAAGCCCGTTGCATGATAAAGTATAAAGGACCAGAGAGGTGATGTATATATTGCTTGCGCTTCATATACCCCAATCAGGCAATGCTAACTTTTACATTGCAATAAATATTTTTGAACTGTAAATGATGTCATGATCCGTCACATATATCAAATGGTGGAGAAGACTTTTATGATCAATGTAAATTTGAGATTGTCTCTTCACTAAGGTTATTTGCTGTGAACATGTTTTTCAAACCATATTTCTCTTGACCTTGACGTCTGAGTCAAAACTTCTTGTAGATTTAGAAACTTGCAAGTAATCCCACCACATTTGTTGGCAGTCTGTCCTTGACTGGTTCAATTATTTTGCACACGCACACACACGCACACAAACACACACACACACACACAGGTGCAAAAACAATGCCCTGCTTCCAACTAAGCTGGTGCACAATGTAATTAGTTCCCCGAGGCTGACGTAGTGTTGATTATTGCAGCTCAGCTGTATCAGCATTAAAGCTTCCTGGGGACAAGCCTTTACTCCTTAACACTGGAACATCGTAACTGCTTACATTTATTCAAAATTATCAAGCGAAGTCTTCAACCCACATTTTAGTAGCCTTGACAACCCAAATGTGATACGTTGCTGTAGAAGCACCCTCAAGACCATAGTCTGTAAAATGAGAGAGAAACACTCTCTCCCTTTTCTCGTTGTCACTAGAGGTTATTCATAAATTCATTCATTCATTTTCAGGATGACAATAATAAAATAAAACTTGATAAAAAGGAATTATAGTCAAAGCTTTCAAATAAATGTGACATCACACACACGCACACATACTGGTGTGTGTCAGACTCCTAATCTCTCCATAATCTGATAAATAAACATCAGCCTGGCTCACAGTAAGTGGTTGTGACAACTGTACGGATCCATGCATACAGTGAACTAGTGTCATTCAGATGAGATTGAAGATTGTACAATATAAGATGCATGCCTGTAGGACAGTTACGTACTGTATATGCTGGGATTAAGTGAAAACATCGGTGAACTCTCAAACACTGTCAGATGCAGTTTGGTAAAGAAGCAGCACTGAGGTCATAAACCTCAGCACTGAGAGTTAGGATGTAGCATGGCTTTCACCCAGCGCATCCCCTCATGTTTTGCATGTATGTGACTGGTTAGGGGATTTGTTTGTGTGTTGCAGGCTGCTAGGATGTCTGGCCCTGCCCTGGAAGAAGAGGACTTGCCTGCCAATCACACAGGTCAGAGACAAACTATCAGAGAGATGAGGTAGACATCAATTTATGAAATGGAAGTGAAGCCTAACTTACTGTATGTTTCAGACCTTTTGGTTAGACAGCACACAAGATTTTAACTCAAGCCAGGTGAAATTATAATTACATCATAAATCTGTGAAAAGTTTAATTGAGGTGTTAACCAATGTGCTTTTGATGGTTTTTCTACCTTTAATGCTGTATATTATATTTTATATATGTCTATTAAGGTGCTTGTGGTCATTTCTTTGTGTGCTTGCAGGTCCTAAAGGTGTAATTAATGACTGGCGGAGGTTTAAGTTGGACAGTGTGGACCAAACCGTCCCTCACAACAAGAGAGAGCTGCTGAGACAAATGTCCAGCCCTAGAGAGGATGATAAGGACAGAGTCAACAGAAAGGTGGATACAAATACTCAGAGAGACTTACACATACTATTTATACAGTATATAGTTCATCAAGTTCATGACAAGTTGTACTTGCTCAGATATATGCCACCAAAAACAAAAAGGTTCAGAGGAAACACTTGGATGGTGCCGTGTTTGTAATTTATCTTAACGTCATAAAGGTGCAGCAGTGACATTTTTCCTCACCTGTAGATGAGCGTTCAGGAGTACGAGATGATCCAGGACGAGGACGAGCGCTGCCTGAAACGCTACAGGAAGAATTGTATGCAGGAAATGCACGAGCGCTTGAGCTTCGGCCCGAGGTTTGAAGAAGTGCACGAGCTTGAGAGTGGGGAAGCCTTCCTGGAGGTCATAGAGCAGGAACATCGGCTGACCCTGGTGGTAGTTCATGTCTACCAGCATGGTGTCAAAGGTTCGTTTTGTTAAATCATGTTGATCTGATCTCATTAAATATTGCAACTACAGTGTTAAACTACAAATGTTTTATAGGGGCTCCCTGTTTATTTTAGGATAGATTGAAAAAATGTATTGATTGCTTTTAAGGCTCTTCATGGCCTGTCCCCAGGTTATATTCCTGATCTTCTAATTCCCTTTATGTGCAGCTTGCGATCTTGGGGAAAGGGTCTTCTGTCACTTCCTGAATCTAGGCTGAAAACTAGGGGGGAACTGAGCATCAGGGCCTCAATACTGAGGAAATAAGTCAGTCTGAGACAGTGTCTTCTTTTAAGTCTTGGCTAAAAACAAACTATTTTTGGAAAGCATATTCCCTGGATTTTCTTGGGGAGCTGGGCTATTATTGGTCTTTTATTTCCTATTATTATGTAGATCATTCCTTCCGTACTTCTTTCTGAATTTTAACCATTTGTTTTCTTGTCTCATTATGAGTTTGTTCACTACAATGTTGGCTGCTCATGGTTTCTGTTGTCAGGCTGTGAACAGATGAACTCGTGTCTGGACTGTCTGGCGTTGGAGTACTCCAGTGTTAAATTCTGTCGTATTGATGCTGTGGCCACAGGTGCTGCTGAGCGCTTCTCATCTGAGGTCAGTAAACTGTTTGACCAGTTTGACTCCACTGATGTAGACTGCAGGTGTAAGCTTGCCATTACAGGGGCCTATCTCCCTCAGCATCCTCCTCGCTTTCCACCTTCTGTCTATTGCCATTTCTAAGAACTGAAGTCGAAAAGGTTTTGACAAAGATTAAAAACAATTTATAAAACAAATACAAACAAGTCAAAGTGTTTTTCCCTCTATTGTAAAATGACAATGACTGCAGCCAGACCATTTTCCTTCGCAAGACTAAGGTAGCTAATATTTATAATATCTGAGACTAATAATCATCTGAATCACGGTAAGTGGAGACATTGAGCTTTAGTGAGATGAAGAACTGTGAGGTAAAAAAGAGGGAAATTGGTAAACAAAAAGTAAAACCAGAAACAAAAGGGCTTGGGTGTTAATTGTCATTCCAAGAACTAAAGAACCAAAAGATCAGAGCCAGGATTAAACCAATGATAGAGTGTGGGAAGACTACATATGTCCACAAAATTAATATTACTCTCATCAGGTCTTCCAGCCTCATTTTACTGACTTTATCAATATTTTATCAATATCTGGCCTGAAACCTTGTATAAGCAATACAAATTCCATCAGTTTGTCAATCAACACATTCATTAAATCAATCAAAAGTTCAAATATTTAATAGAGAGTTTATTTTTAGCTGACAACAACTTGATACTGAAAAATGTAATCAGAGTATAATTCAGAGATGCTGAGTACTGATTCAAACCAGTCTCACTTCAAAACGATCAGCCTGAATTCCGCTGAATCCTGATTCCTGTTGATGTCCCTTCAGGTTCTCCCTGCCCTGCTGCTGTACAAGGCAGGTGAGTTACTGGGTAATTTCCTGGCTGTTACCAAACACCTCAACGAGGAGTTCTTTGCAACGGAAGTGGAGGCGTTTCTCAATCAATATGGCCTCCTACCTGAGAAGGACATCGCAGCGTGTGCTGATGATGAGGACGATGGAGGGGACGTGGACTAGAGGGAAGAGAAAGAATAATTACTGAGAAAGCAGGGGAGAGAGGGGGGGATTGTTGTGAAGTCAAGTGGATACAGAGGAAGAGGAAACAGGAAGAAGGGAAGAGAGCTGAAGAAAAGAATTGTGGGAGAAAGTAGAGGAAGACAGTGGCACACAAACACTAGTGAAGAAAGCATTTATATTGCATTACAGGCAAATACACACATAATGGCAAACATCCACCAGCACACACTGAATGTGGATTGTAACTAGAAGTGGTTAGGTGAACATTACTGAAATACTGCTTGTCAGTCATATCACAGCTCTGATTAAAGATCACTTGACCAAAATGCTCTCAGTGTCTATCTGTCTGTGTAGCACTATAAAGGTTAAACTACAGAACTGTCACTCCTCGTCTTATGATACGATATTGTTTCTATTTCAGTTAAGTCAACATTTTTTCAGCCGCTCAGTTCTATCTGTATTTTATCACAATTTACCACAATAATGCACAATGTTTGTGGAGTTATAATGTAATCATGGAGGAAACTTGAGGACATTTTTCCACGAGGTTCTGATGAACTGACGTCCAAACTTGTGCCAGTGTGTAACAACATCTATATCAACCAGATTTCCTCAGCTCAGATCTGTCATACGATACTTCAGAGGTAGTTAATCATCTCTCATTGTACAAATGACACACAGCAAGACTGACTTCAATAAGCCAACTATTGTATCTATTCCTAAAACTCTGTAAGATTGAAAAGAACAGGATCATCAGATGCTGATCTTACAAAGATATTAATCATATTGTGTACCCCAGTGTGTAAGGCCAATTTCCAACATAACTCCTCTATTCGGCAATAAATCATTTAATTAATTACAGGATGAGAATTAAATAAGTTTATGTGTGCTGTTATAAACGGAGGTGTTGAAGATAAAAAAAAAAACAAGATAAAAGAAAACAGAAGTAATGGTGACTTCAAAGCTTTATGCTATTTTTAATCAATACTAAGGAAAATTGGATAATTGGAGGTTTATCAAAAAGATAAGGGATGAAAGCAGTGAGTGCAGGTAAGGCCAGAGGAGGAGGAGGAGGAAGAGGTATCTCCTGCAGCAGCACATGAAAACCAGAGGAGGGATCTCTAGCTCACTTTTCTGGTTCAGTGCTTCTCAAACATTTTTATCTCAAGTCGTACCTTTTATATATGATAAAGCGTTTTAATGTAAATCATCATAACTAAGACAGATTCTAAGGCACACTAGTGCACGACCGGGTCAGTTGGGTGTGGGTTGACGCATGTTGACTGATTCCCCTTTTATGAGCAGGACAGGAGGGAGGAGAGAAGAACAGTACAAGAGGAGAGAGCAGAGAGATGAGCTGTGCGGCAGACGAATGAGACACCCAATGATACAGGAGACTGAGGAGAGTCAGGCAGTCAGATCATACAAAGAGTCAACCCAGTTTGTCATTGTTCTCTTTTTGCAGTTTAAAATGAGCCCTCTTTATCATAGAGGCAGAAGCTAGCAAACCAGGGTTGGTCAATCTTTTTGATAGTGTTTCACTCTTTCTGCTGAAAATAAACACAATAATTAAGTTGAATGATAACTCAGATTGTACAAGCATGTTGTGAAGACACATGGCACACTTTTATTATTATATCCATTTTATTCTGAAGAAGAAACTTGAAAAAGTGGACTCTTAGGTGGAAATATAAAAGACGATGTTGCACCTTATTAAATCATATGAGACAAACTCTGAATATGGCACAAATAAAATGTGACTGATTGGTCTGTTACTGCTGCACAGACTTAATATCTAATGTTTACTGAGCTGGACTCAGAGCAAGATGACCAGCCTGGTTATTATTTCCTGAGTTTAGCCTGTAAGGCAACTAATGCCTCTCAGTGGGCCACACAATTTAAACGGTGTTAGTTTGTATGTGTTTAGGTGTCATCAAGAAGTATGGTTGACATCATTATCCCAATGTAACACCAATCTTTGAAAAAAAATAAGGCGAGATGTTACCCAGCAAGAAGAAATAGTGCCTGACAGTCACCACCGAAGGAGAACTCCACCGCGCGGGGAGGAGCTCCTCCATGTTTGTGGTCCGGTCTGATATCAACAGAGGAGCAGCGGGTCACACCCGGACTTTTATCGTGATCTGATCCTGATTCTGGAGATTTGAAGAGAAAATCTGAAAAGATGCAGGATGACGCGCGCTACCTCAAACGGTGGGACCTACCCGAGCTAACGCGGCTGTTCATTTACATCATGTATTTGGGGCAGAGAGACAGTAGCTAGCTAATATTATTGCTATTATATTATTGTTAGCATACGTCAAACCATAAATAGAAGAGGCATCTGGACGAGAGCAAGAAGAGAATGGTTTTGAATATGCGTTTTAACCATAGACTGTATATAAAGATACCCCCGGTGTGCGGGGAGAGCTTCTCTGTGCGTCAAAGAAGCTCTCACCAAACCCTGGTCAAACTTCTGGCAATTTTAAAGTTTTCATGCTCTCCAGGAACCGACAATTCAAAGGGAAACTGTTTTTTATGATTTTGTAAATTGCTTTTATCCACTAGTCAATTCGGCAATGCTGTAATGGTGTAACCTCACAGATTTGGGGGGAAAGTATCACACCTTTCAACCTTGATCGTGTCTACCCAACTGTCAGTAGAAGACAACGCTAACCAATGCAGAGCAAAGAGCTATCTGTGATTTTGTGCAGGAAATCAACCTGTAGTCCCGTGGTGAAGATTCACATTGAGCCGACTTCACCACAAAACCATAACAAATCAAAACATATCTGTGTCACATCTCAGTTTAGCTGTATTTGTTCTGGAATACACAACTTAAATTAAACCTGCAGAATGTTAATGGGGGTTCGGCACTGCGTTTCCTTAATGAAGGAAGGGGCTGGGATAACCTAGCTAGGAAGGAAGTGTGAAACGATGAGCACTGATCTGAAAAGCTAAGTAGCTTAGCTGGTGTAGAACTAGCTTAGGTTGTGTTGGTCCACGCTGTGAGTTGAGCTAAATGAGCCTTTAGGTTAGACAGAGCGTCAATGAAAACATATGTTAGCCTGTTAGCACAGCCAGCATACAGTCAACACACGTCGCTGTCTGGGCGTGTCTGTCTGTGTATTGTTGCTGTTCTGGTGCCTGGATATAAGGTGAACGACAGAGGTAATGATTTATTTGTCAGTGACATCGGAGCTGAACACCACAGTGTTTATTATTAGATCTAATTGTGTTTCTATGTTGTGGATAATTCCATCTTCCGTTATCAACACCTACTTCTCGTCGCGCGACACGTCTCGCGGTGTTTGCGGTTGCAGATGAAACTGATGAACAATTAACGTTGATTGAGTATTTTCTCTCATCTGAAATGAATCATTAGTTTACTGGAAGAAAAGTAGAGCCTCCAATGTGCTGTCTCATTTTCACTATGTTTTCTATTCTTTTTATCGAGAACTGCTTGATAAAAAGATTTTGTAAATATGGATGATGATGTGATGTGATGACATTGAATTAGCTGATTACTGAAATATAAATGAAGTAGTTATCTGAAGAAAAGCTATAGTGAATACTCTATATATATACACATATATTTGTGTGTGTGTGTACTAGGAGTGATCCAGTTGATGCTCTCGTGTCATAATTCATTCGTCTCAAACGAATCCCATAAAATGAAATGGAAACATGGCACAGAAGAGAAGGTCACACTGCTGAGCTTCAAGTCTCTATCAATCAACAAAACAATTCCAAATGAATACAAGTCACATCAGTGACACATCATTAGAGCAGCCTGTACTGATGTAGAAACAAAGAGGATTCGGTTACATGAGGTTTGATGCTGTTTCTAAAGCAAAGGGGTCCAGGACTGCAACAGTCACTGATGAGGTGATCTTACACTGTCAGGTGATGTAAAACATGGACATACAGGACAGTGACCTGCATAATAACCGAGGTAGCTCTCAGACTGAGTTTTCTAACAACCGACAGACCGTAGAAGACCAAATATGCAAACAGAAATACAAAAATCTAAAACAAAACCTCTGTCATTTGTCAAGACATGGCGGTGATAGTGATGATACTTTTTTATGTAATTCATTTTGAGATCATATTTTAATCCCAGTTTATTCCTGTAAAGAAAAGCAGTTTGTCCACGACTTGTGTGACATGTCTGGACCACTTGTGAATTTTACTCCAAACAAAGTGAATTCATTCAAAGTTACAACCTCTTAAATCCCTTGTATTTACTATATAAAAGCGCTCAGTTCTTGCATGAGATCCACTGCTTCATTCTACTCATTAGTTTTGGACTCCACAGATTTGGAATTAGCATTATTATTCAACTGACAAATGAGTTTACGAAGTTACAGAATAATTTACTAAACTGTCTGTTTATTTTCACCCAAAGCAAAGTGACTGCGGGCAGTCTAGATGTTCATCCCACGGAGAAGGCCCTCGTGGTCCACTATGAGGTGGAGGCGTCAATACTGGGGGAAAGTGGAGGTCATATGCTGGGCGAACGCAAGGAGGGACAAAAAATGTGAGTGTACGGTTCTTTTCTGCACACAGCTGCCATCCACACCCTCCTGGATTATTTCTCTATATCTTCTTTCTTTTCTTTGACTAAAATTGTAATTTAACTTTTATTTAGCCTGTACTCTTGTTCAACGCTAACAAAGAGGATGAGGTCATTCAGCTTGATCTGTCACCCATCTCTTTGTCTGCTCTTTCTCCCTCCAGCATCCGTGTGAAGAGTCTGTCTCCCAGTACAGATGTAGGAGCTTTGGCCAAGAAAGTGGTGGAGGAGTGCAAGCTCATCCCTTCCTCCCGTTTGCCCCAGGTGGAGCAGCTCCTCTACTACCTGCAGAACAGGAAATCTTCCCCAGTGGATGGAAAAGGTGAGTCATGTCACCAGTGTGGTAGACATGCTACATTTCAAACACGAAACATGTAGACATACCCACATTTTCTCCATCACAAAAATATATCATACACACTTAATGGCTTTATTGCACTCATCTAGTATGGAATCCTTTTCATGCTGTATGTGAAGCTTTACTGATGGGCTCAACAAACATCGATCACTGATGTAAGCTTTGTGTAATGACCCACACAAAACATCACATCATATAAATGCAAATTTCTGGAGAGTTAAAGAATTGTTCAGCCATAAAGCTGCTGTTTGAACACACAAGATGTTTCACTTCTAGATGTTTAATCTAATGGAAAAGTTTGCCGGGTGTTTGTGTTTCTTGGTCACCAGTGGAGAAGAGAGAAAAAAGAAGTGTGAAACCCAGAGAGTTGACACCGTTTGAAGGAATGGAGGTAACATGGCTGACACTTAATGTTTATGTGTCTTGTTCCCTTGTAGTCATTTCAGCTGTATCTCATAGAGCATTTGCAAAATGTTATCCTGTATTTTTCCTGAAGCTCTCTACCTCCGGATACAATAGTACATAGATTTGACAAGCTTTTTATTTTATTTTCTGAATGCACCTCAGTTATCGAAAGCACTCTTGTATGGATGCTTGCATTTATAATAAGACGTGGGTTAGGGTTGTCATGCCATAAAACTAACCTGCGTACTGTGCTGCCTGATCTTCATTAGCATCACTCTGTTGGGGCCATAAACTGTATATAAAGACAGTGTGTCTCCACTTCCTGTTGTACAAAACTGAAGCCAAAATATCCCTGATTCGAACTCTGCTATCTTGTGCTGGTGAAGTCATGTAAACCGGCCGATATATATACTGATATCTAGTGAGTCTTAGCTGTTATCAAACCAAACTTTAGCATAATAATGGACACTTGAGCATACAACAATGTGATAGGAACTATCTAAAATGGCACAGGCAGAGTTTATGACCCGTACTGCATTCAGCCAACAGGAGGCAGTTAATATGATTTGGGTTCTGTCATGTCATGAATCTGTAAATGCAGTGTATGTTGGAGGCGTACACTTGATTTGCAGCAGCACCAAATTGTTTTTCAGTAATCTATGATTTTACACTTTTGTTTATTCTAATTGAAAGTACAACTGGTAGTGTAGATCTCATGTTTTCTAGTTATTTTAATTAGAATAGTTTCTTCATGTTTTGTTCTCAGTCATCAACAGTTTGTGTTTGTGTTTGTCTCTGCAGTTAGATGAGGAAGCCAGTATAACCAAAGTGGATGAGTATGTGGAGCTGCTCTATGAAGGCGTCCCAGAGAAGATCAGAGGCTCTGCTCTCATTCTGCAGCTCGCCCGCAACCCTGAAAACCTGGAGGAGCTGCTACAAAACGGTGCAGTTTCACTGTTCTTGTTTCCTTTAATTGTTAACCTAATGTTTGCTGCCTACACAAGTACAAGTATGTTGATGTAAAACCTTCTAGTGAAGCAAACATCAGGTAACCAAGTGGTGCCAGTGATGGTCCCTGTCTCTAGTGGATACAGCATAAAATCCACTACATTCAAATAAGTGTCTTTATAAGATGTATTCTTTTTGAACATACTGTAGCTGGTGCCACAGTTGGTTGTAATTTTACCTGTAAGTCATGTGACTTGATGTGCAAAGATGCTCGTGTCTGTGTGCAGAGGCAGTTCTCGGGGCTCTGGCCAGAGTACTGAGGGAGGACTGGAAACAGAGTGGGGAGCTGGCCACCATCATCATCTACATCTTCTTCTGCTTCTCCAGGTAACACACACACCCACTCCTCTGGTGTGTTAGTGTAGCTGTTTTCACACTTAACCTCTGGGTAAAATCCAGAGAATAGGCTATGGACTTTACCCACAATTTACCTTTCACACATGCACAACACAGCGGGAGGTTTTCTGCACAGACACAACAGCATCAAATCCTCCACATTATTCAGGTGGAGTAGCTGGGTGCAACAGACAGAGGACGTATTAACTCCGTATGACACGGCTTTTACGCCGGGAGATATTTGTTTTCTTTTGTTTGGTTTTTCATTTTTGCATCTGTCGCATTTTGGGAGCAACATCATGCAGTGAATCCAGCGGGGGATCCCCTGCTGTGTTCACACATCGACTTCTCCTATATTTCTACGGGCATTATACTGGGAGGTCAGGTGGATCAAGTCCACAGAAACTACGGAGCGTCTCACTCGCTCTCCTCCAGAGAAAATACTCAGGAGCTGCAGAGACCAGTGCATGTTTGAAACCAGTGTTAGTGTTAAGTGTTGCTGTTTCAGCTTCAGCCTCTTACTGTTGTGTCTCTCCTCTACTGTTCTCCAGTTTCTCCCAGTTTCATGGAGTGGTGAGTCATTATAAAGTTGGTGCATTGTGTATGAGCGTGGTGGAACATGAGCTGAAGAGACATGACGTGTGGTGTGAGGAGCTACGCAAGAAAAACAAGGCTTATATCCTTTAATGTGCCGTTATTCCCCCTGGCCCTTTCCTTTGTCAGTTATTGTGTATGTCTAATCTTAATGTGATTTATTTTGTGTGTGCGTATGATATTCCTTAACACTACATACGTGAGTCAGCACCGGAGAATGGTTCCCTAAGAAGAGACCAAGACAAAGCTCTGAGGAAGTACCAGGGGCTTCGGGCTAAACAGGAGCAGCTGCTCAGAGGTAAGTAAGCCTTCTAACTCTGTGACAGACAAACTGTACAGGAGCAATGACTTGCTGTGAGGTGAACTCAGATTTGATGCATCACTTCAATCCAAATGAAAGGAATCAGAGGGGAGATACATACACTGTGCAATGTACACTATCTTTACCGCCCATATTTGTCAATTTGCATTTCAGAGCTAAATCATTTCCATTATTATTTTCAGAGGATTCACAGCAGCATTTTTTCATAGTAATGCTTTACAAGCCTAAGAACTATTATATATGATAACATTACTATTTGAATAGCCTCATGAAAGGTAACGCACATATTTAATTAAAAACATAAATCGATAACCTGAGATTTAGCATTGCTTTAAATTAAACCAAGGAATGATTTGCGTTACTACAAGAAATACATTATCTCCAATCTTCTCTTGCACCCTGTTCCTGATTGTTCCCCTCTCTCTCTCTCTCTCTGATTTCACTTTCCCTCAGTGTCTCTTTACCTCCTGTTGAACCTCGCTGAGGACACGAGAACGGAGCTGAAAATGAGGAATAAGAACATTGTTGGTCTGTTGGTCAAAGTTCTTGATCGGGATGATGAGGAGCTGCTGGTCCTGGTGGTTTCATTCCTGAAAAAACTGTCCATCTTTTTGGAGAATAAAAATGACATGGTGAGACACAGATTAAATTCGATTCATGGTGCGAGGAGGGACAAAGGAAGAACCTCAAATATCTTTTTATGTATTCAGTCTCACAGAGATATTGAGAAATTTCCCAATATATCCCTGCAAGCAATGGGTCCAACCAGAATCCACTTGTTCTGTGATTCTCTTGATAACTGCATTAATTCCACAAGATGTTGGAAACCTTCCTCTGAGATCCTGCTTCATGTATACATTACTGCATCACATTATTTCTACAGATTTGTCAGTTGCACATTCATGCTGCCAATCTCCTGTCACAAAGGTTCTACTGGATTCAGATCTGATCTCAGGAGATCAGACTCAGATTCAGAAATACTCAAATCAGCCCATCTGACAACAACAATCAAGCCACAGTCAAAGCCACTGAGATCACATTTTTTTCTCCGCTCTGATGTTTGATGTGAGCATTCCCTGAAGCTCCTGACCTGATGGTTTGCCTGTCTCTCCTTTATTGCTTAAAGCTCACTTACTGTAGAAGTCTGGGTCTGGTTGCTTTCTAGTGAGATTTGTTTCTGTGTGACTTGCAGGCTGAGGTGGACACTGTAGAGCGACTGGCTCGTCTGGTTCCCTGTGACCATGAAGATCTGTTAAACCTGACTCTGCGCCTGCTGCTCAACCTCTCCTTTGACTCTGGGCTCCGAGCCAAGATGGTTGAAGTTGGACTTTTGCCTAAACTGACTGGCTTGTTGGGTAGCTAATAAAACACTATACAATATATACTGTCAATATTACAAGTCAAGTCAACTGCAGAACTTTACTTTTTTTCTCCATCTCTGTTTGGGAATTGTATCAATCTTTGATTAATACCCAATCATCTTATTTCTGTCTTTGTGCAGGTGATGAGAACAATCGTCAAGTAGTGATGCGTATCCTCTATCACATCAGCATGGATGACCGCTTCAAGGGCATGTTTGTTTACACTGACTGTATACCTCAGGTATGACAGCAGCCACTGAGAATCATTTCAAACAAATACAAATGAACCGTTGACTTGATCTTTGAAAGGTGTGACGTTTGTGCATCTGTGTGTAGCTCATGCAGATGCTGTTTGAGGGCAGTGAGGAGGACATTGAAGCCGAGCTCATCTCCATCTGCATCAACCTGGCTGCAAACAAGAGGAACGCTCAACTTACATGTGAAGGTAGATTTAAATTTGCTGCATTGAGTCATTTATCTTGATATTTAAAGAAGGTACCAAGAATGAAGGAGACCAGCTGTTTTTATATTAGAAGGTGGGCCTCCACCTCCTCTTAATAGTCACAGAGGAGGCCGAGTGAATACATTAGTTCCCAAAGCGAGATCATATCAGCTTAAATGTGTGTGATTCGGATAAAGAATTAGTGCAGTTTTGGGGAATTTGACAGTTTTTCAAGGAGTCATTTGCCTTTTCTTTTAGCAAAGTTTAATGTAAAAGAGGTATAAAAGCCTTATGGCAGATTTTAATGTATCTGGTGTCTGAACTCGACACTGCATTATCCTCCCAGACTGCACCAGCTGATCCTAAATTCTAGTGTCTGGGCTGTAGCTTTAACAGCTTCTGGCTTACTTTGAGAGTTGTGTTTGTTACAGTCCTGTTTAGTTTCTGTGTTTCTGGGTTGTGATGGTCTCTGTTTTTCTCTGTCTGTAGGAAATGGGCTGAAGATGCTGATGAAGAAAGCTCTGAAGACAAAAGACTGTCTGCTGATGAAGATGATCAGAAACATCTCACAACACGATGGACAAACCAAACCAATGTTCATAGTCAGTTACAAATCCTGATTTTGAAAATACAGTATCACTGTTAGTGGTAGTCGTGTTATCAGTAGAAGTTTTTTTGTTTCCCGTGATGTGATTAGTCTCCTCTTTAATCACTGTCAGGACTATGTGGGTGACCTGGCAGCAGAGATCCGTGCAGAGGAAGAGGAGGAGTGGGTTCTTGAGTGTCTTGGCACATTGGCCAACCTCACCATCCCTGACCTGGACTGGGAGTTGGTGCTGAAGGAGTACAACCTGGTACCTTACCTCAAAGACAGACTCAAACCAGGTAGCAACACATCTTAGAGAATACAGTTCCAAATGTATGTGCACTCCCTGAGCAAGTCACACATTTCACTGATTTTTGAAAGTGAAAAGAAGTAAATACAACCCCTGTATCAAATAAATAGATTATATGAAAGCCCTGAAAGCTTTCAGTTAAAACTGCACGTGTGCTGCATGTTAGCTGCAGGAAGGTTGAGTTGACACCGGTGCTGCAAGCGTAAAGAATGCAAACCACATCTGGATTAGCCAGAGGTGGGTTTTTCTCTGCGTTGTGGAAAAGCCTCAACTCAATACTTTGTTTTTGCTTCACCTTGTTTTCTTCTGTATCAGTCTAAACCACCAACATGTGTGATGTGTATGCATGTTTCAGGCTCAGCAGAGGATGACCTCATACTAGAGGTGGTGATTATGATTGGAACGGTTTCCATGGATGATGCCTGTGCCGCCATGTTGGCTAAATCTGGCATTATTCCTGCCCTTATCGAGCTACTCAATGGTAACTTACTAACACACGGACAGACACATTTACATGTTTCACCTTTGAGAAGTTAACGTAGTCTTAATTAATTTCCTAGTAACTTGACCTAATCTTAACCATAGCCACTCACACAGCTTTTTACCAGTTGGACATGTCAAATACAATAGATTGGTTTTTACTCTCAGCTGCAACAGGCAATTTCAACACTAGATATCACAAGATTCTACACACTGTACCTTTAAAGAACAATGTTCAATGCAGGACTTTTACTTCTAACAGACTACAGGTGTGGGACAGTGTAGTATTGGGACTTTTACTTCTAACAGACTACAGGTAACAGGGTGGTATCAGTACTTTTTCTTTTAAGTACC